TTTGATTGGAAAATTTCTTTCCCAACTTTTTACTCTGAGGTGATGTCTGTCTTTGAGATTGAAGTGTGTTTCTTGTATGCAGCAGGAGAATGGACTCTGTTTTTGTATCCAATTTGTTAGCCTGTGTCTTTTTGAGCCTTTGGGATTGTAGCATCTCTGTGTCTGAGAAAATACAAACACAGGTTGAATGATCACTTTGGTGTTCTACAAAAACACTAGATTAAAAATAGAATAGATGTCACTCTAAGTTATTTTTTACTAAAATTTGCATCAACATTTTACGGACAAGAGATTTAAAGCCCTATTTAATCATTGATAGTTTGAAAATTACAGGTGTGAAACTGAGGCATGCAGGCTTTGGAGCCATATAGGTCTGGGTTAATGTCTCTACTGACTAAAAAGGCAGCATTGTACATTTTTCTTAATCTCTTTGATCATCTATTTTTACCATGGCAGTATATCTACTTCGTAGACCATGAGTTCAGCATGAAGGAATGTGTGTGACTTTATGTGTGGTAATATATACATTTATGACATCACTAGTGATAGAGATGGAATTTGAGTTGGGTATGAGTACAGTAGTAAAATTAACATAATTTTACCCGATTTCTGGAAATTGAATCATTTGTTGCATTCTCGTAGCTTAAGAAAGGAAAGAAAAAGTTTAAACCCTCACGGATTTTTACAATAACACTTTCAACATACTTTATCACAGACTTATCCTTCAGTTATTGAATGGAGTTTGAAGATATCTCAGGTGTATTCCTTCTCTATTGCTATTTTACATTTAATAACTTTCTAAAAAGATGATGATGACCAAGACCCTAGTTGTGCTGAAGATATTCCATGACTTTAAATAAGAACATTTTACTAAGATTTTAATTAGACCACCAGTCTCTCTGCTGTTACTGTCCAGTCTGCCTACTCCAGGGGATAGTTGGCACATGTTTGGAAATTGGAGGCATTGATTGGCTGTCAAGACTGGCAGACCTTTAAGATGCATCTGGTGACCATTTGCTGAGCCCTCTGGGTCCTTTATTTGAGATCTTATGTAATCCAAATGAAATGTGTGATCTGGTGATTTGGAGCTGCACGGGAGACCCATCAGGAACCTTCCAACTCAAAGAAAGCAGCTACACACCCGGCAGTGTTTCTCTCGAACCCCAGGACTCTGTCTTTTAGCAGTGGGTATCCCTAAAGGTCAGGTTGCAGCAAGTCTTCAGTGTGAGAGCAGGAACAGTTGGACAGCTTCCCCTCCTTTACTTATCACTCAGGAACACTGTAATTGTCCCTCATTGCTCTAGTATGGGATACCACTGAGCTCTTTAAGGTGCCCTAAGAATTGGAAACTGAGGTCAAAAGTGCGTGTGGGGAGACTGATTGCTGGCCTTCCAAGATACTGCTGGCGGCGTGCTTTACTCTTACTTTTAAAAACAACAAACATCTATTTTCAGTAAAGTAGGTAGCTAACGCACGGCCTAGCAGAAAGAACTGTGAGTTTGTGAACAACACAACAAGAAATGTGTGTTGAGGAATTGTTTGTGCTAAGCAGAGACACATGTCGTTTCTCAGCTGGAGAGTCTACTTCGTGTTCATTTTTAAAGTGCTATGTTATTTTTTTTTTAATGACAGTTTTTACTTGAAACAAACCTAACAGGTTATTTTTGGTTTCACATCTAGTGTAGTTGTTCTAAAAGTCAGACAAATAGATTACAGAATTTCTTGAGCATTTCTGTCTTGAATCTGCCAAGAGAAGGATTTTATAGGTGTGTAAAGCAAAGATGATGTAAGTTCTTTGCCTTCATCTAGGGGTGTTATGTCTGCTCTACAGCCTTCAAAGTCTGCACTTCCTACTTTGGCTGTCCGCTCCTTTATTTTCAGATCCTTACACAATCCCAAATATCCATGGTCTCTCTATGCCGCAGGATGTAAAGCTGGGCATTCTCGTAGATAATTGAAATCAAAGTATACCATTGAACATCCGTGTAGTCATTTAAAGTCTCTGAACCTTAATTTCGTCATCCGAAAATGAGGAGAATCTGTTTTCTACGGAATTGATTTGAGGAGCGAATAAACTAAAATATGGGAAGAGCTACAGGGTCGTGTCATGGAAGTAAACAATCAGTAATATAATTATTTTACTTGTTGTCACAGATCATAGTTATGCCTCTCTCCTCTGAAGACAAATAGTACTAATTCTTTGTAATGTTCACTAGACACGCATACGTCAGGTAGATATATTTGTAAGTTTTACACCAGTTGCCCTAGACATTTCAGAGAACTATAGCTGCACCAACATAAAAGCACATGTTCTTTGCCTGCCATTCATTGGATTTTCACAAATATCATACTGTCATGTAGCAAATGTCCTATTCAAGAAAGGGAAAGATACCAGTATCCCAAAAGTCCCACACACACTCCCTATGTGCTCTATATTAACTCCCACAGGTAGCCATTAGCCTGACTTCTAGAATCAAGTCTAGATCAGTTCTAAACTATAAGATTCCAAACATAATAGTATATTATTTTAATGACAATTTAAATACTATGACTAAAGAAAGCAATGTATTTTTTTTCTCACTATAAGAACTATTTGTCAAATCTGCACTCTCTCTTTCTAGCCTTCTACTTTTTACCATTATCTTTGGGCTTTCCAAATCTAGCAAAGGCCTAGTCCTTGGTGAACCCCACTGCTTTCTCCGCATCTCCCTGAGGGATACAGACGACCTGGAGAAGAGAGCATCCATACTTCCAACCTGATGTTACCAAAGTCCATGTTCTCCATCTTAACTGGCTGACTACCTGTCCTCCTTCCCCATCCAGCTACCAGGTCTCTCTTCCACTCTTCCTACCAGATAATTCAAATCATTTCTCCTTATTTCAGCCTTCCTATTACATCTTTCCAGTGCGACCTGGCAAGCCTTGTTATCAGGAGGAAACCCAAGCTGTTCGTAGTTACCAGCCTTTTGTCACCAAACAAAACCTTGACTACACACGTCCCTGATTGCATCTTCCCTGGTTTCCTTTCTGCTCTGGGCCTCTCTGTCACAACATCATACCTTATCAGGTTCACTGCTCTTCTCAAGTGACACCTTCTCCTTCACATTAGTATTGCAATATGTGAAAATCTTTGCCATCTTTAAAGACAACAGTAGAAATAAGTTGTCTGCAAGCCCAGATATGTGCCTGTTGCCGCCACCCTCCCATCATGTAGACTTTTTCACACCATTCTTTATACTTTCTGTCTATGGTTCTTTGTTGTTGTCTTCCCTTCACCCACTCAATTCTAGTGTCCACTTCCACTAGCTCATTTAACACCTCCCCCTACACCTTTTGCTAAGATTCTTGACAGTGTCCATAGAGCTAAACTAGAGTCACTTTGCAGAATATACTGGCATTTGTGTATGTTGTCTGAGCCTCTTTCTGGAAATATGCTCTCTGTTTTGCTGCTGAATTTATGCTCCTGGGTTTTCCCCTGACTCCCTAGGAATTTCTTTGTACTCATTATTTTTAGGAATCTTCTCCATTCTTTTACACAGATGCCAATCTGAGTTCTCTCCAAACTCTTTTTCATTTCGTGCACCATCACAAAAAAGATAACTACAAAATCTACACATTTATTCAAAGAACTGACCATAGCTTAACTTGGATCAGATCAATAAGTACATGTTTCACACTCAGATATAACTCATATTTTAAAGAAAATCTTCATTTTTAATAAAAACTACAGTTTATAGAATGCTTTCTTGACACCAAACATTGAAATTAATCATTTCTGATGATAGGCAATATCTTCTCATATAGAAAGCATAAAAACAACATAGCATGACAGACTGTGACTTTATAGAGCTGACGACAGCCCAGGTTTCTTACCCAGAGATACTGGCTAACTTCTGGCAGACTTTTTAGACTTGCTGTCCTTTCATTTTGTGTACAACACATTTTTTTTATAGTTGAAATGGTATTTATATTCCTTTATAATTGGACATTTGTGTAATTAAAATTATTCACAACTGTTCTAATGGTTTCATGTATTCAGTCATAAAATAGAAGTATTCGTTATATCCATATATTACTAAATAAAATTTTAAAGTTTTGCATTTTTTCATTAGTATATATTACAATGTGTCTATGTATTAGAAAGTTTCAGCTCTTTAACCTTGGATATTCTACAAGACTCCACTTTAAGACCTGTATCTGTTTCTGTAGTCATTGGCATGTTAATTTATTTTTTAATCTTTTAATTATTATAATTATTGACATATTTGCATCTGTGGGGGGTCAGGCATTACTGTAATGGAGATCAAGGAACAACATGAGAGAATCAGTTTTCTTTTACCTACCGTCTGGGTCCTGGGGATTGAACTTAGGTTACCAGAGGTCAACCATTTTGCCAGCTCTCAATTTATTTGTAAAGAAATTTTCTACATTTAAGTGTTATCTTGTTAGTTTTATTCATAAATCCTTACTTATTAGACAAAGCTGACTTTTTATTTATTAGCTATATTTAAATCATTCCTACGGTTTTTATTCTTTTTTTTCTAATTAACATTAAAATGATCTGGAGGATTATTGAGAGAAAAATAAGTCTCTGGGTAAAACTGAGGAGAGAAAGAGCAGGCCTGGGCCTGGCACCACGTTCTGATTTTCTTCCTTTTTCAGGTGCAAAGGCTAGAAGCACCCATTTGGTTTATAAGAGAGCAATGTGCTAATGGTTACTGTTCAGTTTTGACTCTGTTCATCTCTTATAGTAAGTGTTTTGGAGCAGATAAACAGATTATTCAGAAGTTGAGCAGAAAAAAAGATAGTCTGAGAAGACGGAGAGTAGCATGGTTTCTCTCTGGTGCGCGATGCTCAGATAGACAGCCACGCTAACCACCACATCCCACAGGGCTGCTACTGCTGTTCACGCTTCCAGGCTAACACCTTCTGTTTCTCATGCCAGCGTTGTGCGTGATGAGTGTTCCTTATGACTGACAAGGTGCAAACTCTCTTCACAGCAATCAGAGTGAAAAGTCGAAGACAGAACCTCAAACCACACTCCAGAAATCCCAGCCTGATTATGCAAGGCAGGTGAGCAGAGACCTGCCAGGACCCTCCGACCCTTCTGATCAGAAAATCACTTCTAACCCTGCTGAGAAGGAAGACAGCAAGCACCCAGGCAGCAGTCAGAAACCAGAGAACAACCAAAAATTCTTAACAGGAGTACCCAGGAACAGATTCCTGGACGGCAGGGTGAGTAACAAGAAAGAGCTAAGCTTTTCTTGGTAATTCATTAGGAAGATACAGAGAAAAACAAATGCAAACAAACATATACAAATAGAGATTAGTACATTTTTATAGAATAGAAATTATAAATGATACCTTTCAATTTAAAATAAATCTCAAGGGGATGTTATATATTACATCTGTCTATACCGAACTGAGTTGGTCAACCTAACTTATCTGTGGCAAACTCACTGATACTTGGTAATCAATACAGTAAATAAGTGTCACCAGCCATGTGTCTTGGCTTGCTTTTTATTGTTGTGGAAAAACAGCATCATCTAAAGCAACTTAGGGAGGGGAGGGCTTGCTTTACCATGTAGTTTATAAACAATCATGAAGAGAAAGAAGTCAGGGCTAGAGCTGAAGGCAAGAATCTGGATTTCTGGAACTGAAGCAATGACTGCTGAGGGGTGGTGCTTACTGGCTTTCTCTCTGTGGCTTCCTCAGTCCACTTTCTTATATAACCCAGGATCACCTGACCAAGGGTAGCGCCATTCAAATTGGGCAGGGCACTCCTACATCAGTCATTAATCAACAAAATGCCTCACAGACTTGCCTACAGGACAATCTGAAAGAAGAATCTTCTCAATTGAAGTTCCCTCTTCCTGGATGACTCTAAAGTTTGTGAAGTTGACTAGAATGTAACTAGGACACCATGTAAGGTTCCAGTCTGTTGGAAAAGGAAGTCTGTCTGCTTTCACATTACAAGAATAGATTAGTAATTTTCAAAATGCCATCCAACCATGTTTAATTATAAAAAAAAATTCCCCAAACTGTCTTGATGGAAATACATATCACTGGACTCTGTTAGTAGCCATCCAAACAATCCGTAAAAGCTGTCCTGAGAAGGATAAATCTAAATGATTAGTAATTTGAAATTAAAAGCCAAATATAGCACCAATTGAAAACTGGATCCAAATCAAGACGAAACTAATGATTCATTGATAACAAAATGCCATTTCCCAAAATTACTGAAATTTCAATTAAATGGATACATAGAGTGGGCGTCTTGCAACACTGCCAAGCATTAAGTGACAGCCAGATATTTTAGTAGAATACTGATTAAAGTCTGCATAAAACTCAAACAGAAATATTTTTAGCTTATAATTTTAATAGGCCTTTAAAAACCACTGGGATGCTAGCTAGTTTTTCTCCATATGAGGAAATGAATGCCTATGGATTCTAATCCTCTGTGCGTAAGATCCAGACAAAAGACTGTACATTTGGAGTGCTTGTCAGCCCACCACTGGATTTCAGAGTGCATTCCGAAGGTTCCAGCTGAGCACCAAAGTCCATTTATGAAAGTAACTTGGCCAGTGAGGTAGGGGTATAACTGAGACTGAAACCCAGACCTTCTGGCTTCCATTCAGTATATTCCACTGACTTTCCCGAGATGGGGCCTCGAAGTTATATGGTCTGCGTAGGGCAGGGAAGAATGAATTAGCAAAACTAAAACAACACTGTAAGAACATCTAAAAGTCTATGAGTTTTTCCTCTAAATTTTGTCACTCCCCAAAATGATTTTGGTAATAAGACTATGGATTATAAACAGGTACTTTCAGGAATATCGTTTATGTGTTTTTTGTGTTGAGTTACCTGCTGCAGGTTCCACTGTTGTTTCTATTACTATAATAGATGACAACCTGAGACCCCAAAGTTGAAGCGACTCAAAAGTGTACCTCTGAAATGTGCCTGATTCATTTCTGCTTCCCTCCCCCGCCGCTCTTCCTATTCCTCCTTGTTCCTGCTCCTCCTTCCTCAGCTCATCCTCCCTTCTGCTCTATATCCTCTTGCTCCTTCTCTTCTCCCTCATCTCTCTTTCTAGACAAGTTCCAATGTATCCCAAGCTGTTTTCAAACTCTCTTGTAGCTGAGGACTAATTTCAACCCTTTATACTCCCATCTTTCCTTCTTAAGTGCTCAGATTACAGGCATGTACCACCATGCCTGGTTTATGTGGTGCTGAGGATGGAACGCAGGCATTGTGTGTGCTAGATATAAACACTATACTATTGAGCTATACCCTCAGTCTTCTATTTTCTGTAAATTTTAATTGCTTTTCCTAATCATGAAGTACTACATAATTGCTAGAAAGCAACATAATACAAATAATTAGAAAATAAAACCTAAAATAGAAAATCAGTGGCTTTTATTTTCATTTTTCTTTAATGGTTCCACATTATTTAATCTTAGGAGTATACATTGAGACAGCCACCATAGTGTGGGCACGTGGTTTTGCTTATGCCACATTAAAAAAAATACGTTTTGGGACTATATTTCAACCACAATAACACCATTCCGGAAGAAAAATATACCTTCAAATCAATGCTGCATAGGCAAAAGAAGGCTCATAACTAGTTTTCAAGATTTCCCTGCTTCTTGACCCGTTGATGCAAGGAGTGTTCTCAGCCCTAAGAACAAGCAGAGTAGCGAGAGTCCCAGGGATTTTATGTGACACTTCATAGACAGAACATATCTGATGTACCAAAGAACCAAACAGAACTCTGGATGGCAAGGGCCAACTACAGCTGGCTCCAGGTCCCCCCACAACTCAGCATCACTGAGATTCCAGCAACATCCACACTTAGCAGCCCAGCACTGGTAGAGCTGGCACCCCGGGGAAATAACAGTAATGACAGTGACGCAAGTGACAAGAAAAACAAAGTGGTTGATGACTTTCCACAGCTGCTGGCCACCATCAGGTTCCATTCTGAGCCTGACTTCCCACCTCAGAAACACACAAAGTGCAAGGATATTGTCACACAAATACATATGTCACAGGATCCAATATCCATGATGAGACCTGCAAGTGACAACGTTTTCCAAATACCTTTTCCCCATAATAAAATAATCTTATTAAAACCTAATTTAAAGGAAGTGTCAGAGTTATAGTTGTAATCTATCAAAAGTCAAAGGCTTTCTTGAAGAATCATCCACGTCAGTCCTGATTTACTGATGGAAACATCAGTTCAATGACTTCAGAGTCAGGGGAGCTGTCCCCACTTCTGTCACTCTAAGTGTCCCTGGGTGAGAGCTGGCAACCTTTCTGCATGTAGTACGGGAGCCTCCTGACAGAGGTCAGAAGGAGGCCAAAGTAGGGTGAGGAGGACTTTATAGGCCTGGATAGGAAATCAGTGTGGTATTGAACCCCAACAAAGAATGAGTGATCTAACTCTACAGTCTCCATCTCTTCCCTTCAACATCTTGAATAACAAACTTCCCTTGCTCTTTCAAGCACTTTTTTTCAAGACTGAATTCACCTCAGACTGGTGATGGTGCCTCTCTTCCAAGTAGTCTGTGTTTCCACAGAGTTTCCTCATGACTGAGTTCTTGGTCTGGAAGAGGGTTCTCCCCTTGCCCAGGAACATACAGAAGGTAGAAGATGAAGGCTGGTTCAGGCGGCTTTCTTTTTCTTCTACCCTCTATATGTTGACATGGTGTAAGAATCATTTTATATGTATTCTTTGCTCTCCTGTTCAATTAATTTCACATCAAGGATTCTTCCATTAGCATGAAGAAAGTATGTCTTATTCCATAACTGTAAGAGCTCTTTCCTCACATTTAAAGCTAGAAGTCATGTGTCAATTTTTTACATATATTAACTAATTTCTATCCCAAATCACCAGTGATGCCAGAAACACTTACTTCTTTAGTTCATGGAGAAGGGCACTGACAGATGAGGTCAGTTGCCTTGGCAGTATCATAAGGCTGAGAAGTGTCAACCAGATGATGCAAGCTCAGGTTCTAGGCCCTGTTGTCCCCAGACTGAATCTACTCCTTTGCTTGAACACAAACAAAGCCCTCGTAGCAACAAGCTAATCCTAATTGTGATGTTCATCCCCTGCGTTCAGCTCCTCACTGACATGGGGTATGCATTTATCACTACCACCTGGAAGAAGTTTGCTGTATCAGCAGTTCAGCTCATGGACTTCCGTGATTCAGAGTCTTTGCTCGTTCTCTGATACCAAAGGGAAATGACTTCCTCTCTCTACTTAGAATTCATAATGGGTTTGTCAGAGGCTCAGTGTGGGACACCAGTTACCAAATACAGCAAGGCCTCCTGGGAGGTGTGGGGACTGACTAATTGGTTCTGTCTGCCAGGGAGGCATATAATGCTGGCTTGCCAGATGGCAACCACAGTTGCCTGGTACAGAAACCCTCATTACCACCTTGACTAAGTGGTAAATGGAATCCTGCTGTAGTTATAGAAGCACACCAATCAAAACAACTTCTAGATCTTTATCACTCACACACAGATAAAAATAAGCCTGGGATGGAGCCCACAATCTGGACAGACTAATTTGCTCCAAAAGAGAAGTTACTGATAAAGACCGATACTGCAGGAAGGAGGGCAAACAAACAGAAAATAGCAGATGATGATCAAAGGATAGCCTTAATAAGAGGTAAGGCTTAACATGTTATAAGAACATAACACTTTATATGCTTAGGAATAGTAAGACATCTAGAAATCAACAGGACAAACCTTAACCTCACACATGAATGAGGCTCAGAGATCTTAAAGGTCTTCTAAGTTGAGAATTGGATTATTATGTAACTAATCTGTTTCTTCCTACAGATAAACCTTTGAAAATGTTTCAAACACACACACACACACACACACACGAGAGAGAGAGAGAGAGAGAGAGAGAGAGAGAGAGAGAGAGAGAGATTCTCAGAAACATCAGTTCTGATTTCTCTACTAAAAATTTGTTTAAAGAATGTGTGACTAACATCAAAGGCAGTAACATGATTTTAAAATATGAATTAGAGTGCTCATAGCATCTGGCAGTATGAAAATAAAAGTGTGAGCGCTTTCATTTTAATAGCTATCACAGCCAGTTTGTAACAGTGCTCTTCAAAGCCCCGTTGGAAAGTTGGCGTTTAGTTATACAGTAGAACTCAATAATTTTGTCTTCATTGTAGAGGTGAATAGACAGATAGATATAAGGGGATGTCCATCTTCCATGTGTATTTGTAGCTCAGTCCTTCATGTTCAAAGCAGAGTCATCTGACCTGATTTCAAATGGGCTCTGCTGCACTCCTTCAGTTGCACCGGCAAGAATCTAGACATACTTTTGTCTTCTCTCACTCCATAATCTGATGTCCAGTCCCTGAGTTCCTTACATTATTCCTTTCCAGTGTCTCTTTCCTTCCTTTCTTCTGTTAAGAATCTAGTTAGAGACCCATTCTGTCTTATACAGATTTTAAAGATCTTCACACCACTGGATGTTTTTGGTTGCAAACTCCTCCTTTGTACTGGCCAGTTATGACAAGAAATGTTGTCGTGTAAGACCTAATGTGTGGGTGGTTTATGACAATCACCATGTGTACTCACATCTCTAGGTGGGAACTAAGACAAACTTAATTGATCCCAGTTGGAATTGGCTGGACTGTCTCCAAAATAGAAACTTGTTTCAGGCCTTTTTTTCTCTTATATTTTGGCTTTATTGGGATTTCATTTATTGTGCTATGTATTTTTATTATAATATATATGATATTTAATATATATATAAAGAATATATGTATTCTTAAAACTATACATATGTATATATATACATATATACATTTATGCACAGATAACATCAACTAACTTTTAAAAAGAGGCCCTGTGTTTGAAAGAGCAAGGAGAGATACATGAGTGGGCATGGAAGGAGAAAAGGGAAAGCACAAATGATATAGTTACATTATAATCTCAAAAAATAAAAGTATAATATCAAAAAATGTTTATATATATGAGAGGAATATTAATAAAATAGTGTGTGTGTGTGCTTACCACAACTTTTAAGAAGAACTTCAAAACCTATCAGCTTTAGCTTCTCCTCCGAACATTTAAAATTCATTGGTAATCTCTGTCTCTGATATAAAACTCAAACTTCTTCACCCAATTCTCTCTATTTTCTTTTACTAAAATAAAATTTTACCTCATAAACAAAATTCTCTTATCCTTTCGTAATTTTCTTATGCTGTTCATTTTTAAAAATAATTTATATTTTTGGATCTTCATACATGATATACTTCATTCTGACCCACTCTCCTTCCGTCTTTCTCCAAGTCTCCACCCTCTCAAGTTCATGATCTCATTCCTAATTACACACTCTCATTCACAATAGTCTCAAAAGCATTAAGAATAGCCCTAACCAAGGAGAGTGCTACAAAATACCACCAAAGAGATTTAATGAACTTTAAATCTTTGAAGAATGAGATTGAAGAAGACACTTAGAAATAGAAATGCCTACCATGAGATGGGTTGGTAGAATTGATGTTATAAGAGTGATCATTCTATCAAAAAATATAATATCAATGCACTTTCAATCGATATTCCCACAACATTCTTCAGAGAAATAGAAAAATCATCCCAAAATGCATCTAGAGCTACAAAATACCCAGAAGAGTCAAAGCAATTTTAAGTAAAAAGAACAATTCTGAAGGTACCAGAAGTCCAGATTTCAGGATATATTAAAAGCTGTAGGAATAAAAACAGCAGGGTAGTAACATAGAAAAAAGATAGGTGAACAAGTGAGCAAAATAAAAGACAAACATAAGTGCACGTAAATACAGCCATTTGATGTCTGACACAGATGTCAAAAATGCACACTGAGAAAAGATATCATCATCAATAAATAGAACTTTAAAAATTGAGCATCCATAAGAATGGAAGTAGACCCATATAGAGCAATAGTTAAGATTTGTTTGACTTCCAACATTTCTAATAACCCCAAGAAAACTTAAGTGTGTGTGAAATTCTTAAGCTTAATTTTTCACAATTCTTACAGGCAAATGTAACAAAACTAGCATTGACTGAAGTTATTGCAGACTGTTTTGCCATCTAAAAGCAGGACTTTGTGATTGCCCTTGGATAAAGCACAGAACTTAGCAAGTCCTAAAGGAAATTCATGACTTCCCTTTGGTCTCCCTCTGCAGCTTTATCTTTTGCCTGTTCCAAAAGTTAAATTAGACTGTGAAAAGATCTCTCCCTCTTGCTGGTACACTGTGTATTCCTTTAGCATTTTCTATATTCACTTCCATTTTTCTGTCATCTTTTTGCTGCCCTTCCCATTCCTACCCAGTTGTTAGCCTATAAAATCTAATTTCTTTTTCAAGAGTAGATTTAGGTGCCATTGCCTGTTGACCTGGTCTCCTAAGTCCTTGTTAGGTGGATCTATGAGCTTTCCTAATAGGACTTTTTCTACCCTCTATTGTATTACTGGTGTGGTTATTTACTGTGCATCTCTCTCTTTGAAAGTTATGAGAGAAACAACTGATTCTGCTCTGTTCATTTTAGGGCTTATCACAGTGCCTGACAGAGACTAATGAAACTTTTAAAGGTCTAAAAAGATATTTTATGTTGGTAACACAACTTATGGTAAAAAGTGGTTTAGGTATAAAACTGTAAATTCTTCAAGATATGATAAGTAATAAATTATTTTCCCTGAATTTTCCAAATACAGATGGACTAGACACTATGAAAATAATTCTTACCACACAATTGTTCTTATTTAATATAGTTTTTATTGTGTTGGAGTTAAAAACTTTCTTTCTGTTTTGACAAAAGGGAGAAATGTTATGGGATAATCTTTTCATACACTGTGAAGATGTATTTTTGCCAAGGCACCTTCTGGTTGGTTTAATAAAGAACTGAATGACCAGTAGTTAGGCAGTAGAGGCTAAGCAAGATTTTCTGGGAGAGAGAGGAAGAGGAGAAGGAATCTAGGTGCACAGATTAGACCAACAAGATGTGAAACAAGTCAGACATATTGTACAGAGAAGAGGTAACCAAGCCACAAGACAAAATGTATATTAATAAAATCAGAATTTTTAAGTTTATAAGACCTAGTTGGGGAAAATCCTAAGCTAAAGGCCAAGCTCTCACAATTAGTCTTAAATCTCCATGTAGTTATTGGGGAGCTGGTAGTCCCACAAAGGAAAGTTTGACTACATTTAGGAAAGCTTGCTACACTGACCCATTTAGGCCATGTTGGTAAATACCAACTTCACCCAAGGGGTTGAAGGAGACTAAAGGGAAAACAAAGGCCAAAATTTGTGAAGTTTCTCAGGATCACTGAGGCAGGACAGCACAAACAACTTACTGGTTAGCTTGAAGAATTTCCCCCAAATTTGGATGAAAGGATTGTTCCTGTGTATCTGAATTCTGGTACTAGCTTGTCAATAATTAAAAGTATGAAAGTGACATAAAGGCAGCAGCTAAATGGTTTATGGAACATATATTATATTATAAAGAATCAATAATTCATCATATTCTATGGCACAAGGAGATGATGTTTTAACCTTGACCCTAAATACATCATTATTTTGTTATAAACTTTAATAATACCTTTAGAGAGTAACATTTTTAGTTTCTTTCATTATGGGCAACGTTCATAATTACTTTTGCCACCCTTTATAAACATTCTAATTAAAACATCCTACAAAGACTGATATTTCTGAGAAAAAGCACACATTTGCCTATAAACACTCATGCTCTACCTAATTTCTGTGTGTGTCTGTCAAAGACACCCTTCTTTCCCAGATAAGACAGTAGTATATTGTTAACATTTTTGTTCAACGTGTGTCCATTGTCTACTGACGACATTGGTGTAGCATGTGCCTTCTTCACTGAAATTCAGGACCTCAATATTTGCATGGACTGAAGTCCCTTTAGAACCGCCATTTGCTGAAAGGAACTGCTTGGCTCACTCCTGTTCCCCCTCTTGTTTTTTTTTTTTTTTTCCCTCTCTGCTTTTCTGCTCTTTGCTTATATTTGTCTTTGTTTCTTTAAGACTTCCCATGAGGCAAACGTCTACTGCAGCTCTGTACCAACTGGAGACCAGTCTTTATCCTATATGCACTATCTCCCCAGAAGAAAATCTAGAGACTGCTCTTTGGAACATATAACCAAGGAGAGAATTGGCCAGCCTGAGGTGTGTATATTGAATTATTGGCTTGTTTTATACAGCTGTGTGGATGATGAGCATTACTCATTAGTTGTGTATTTTCGTTAGAAATATTAATTAGAAAGTCTGAGTATGGACTGGCAGATGTCATAATCCCCATGCTCAGCAGATTTATAGGAAGGAATCTTCCTTGGGGACTTGACAGGCAAACCCATAGATCTCAACTTCCTTTGCTCCAAATTTCCCACAAGGAAATTTGCAGTCCTGTTAACTCAATCTGGATTCAGCTTTCATCTTTTGTTTTACTCTAAGCACTAAGCTTGTCAATCTGACAAGTCTTTAAAATGTATTGTTCAAAATTTTTATTCAAGATGAAATGTTTTTGTGTTCATTGTGCAAGACAGTGATAGGTGTTCAAGAGCCTGTGCATGTATTCTCAGAAGGGTTGTTTTCTTCTTTCCTAAGGAACAGATCTGGGACCCCATAAACTAATGAAAGTACCATCTTGTCTCATCCTAGACCAGCCCTGCAAGTACAATCTGTGACACCTACCCCAGTGATTTCTGCTTCTTCCTTAGGCTTTTACTGGTCTTGTTTCAGAGCTCTGCTCACATTTCTGCCCTTTTTTTGTGTTAGGAAATTGTTCAAAGGCCAAGAGAAGATGCTTTTCTCCTCGCTTTGGTCAGAAAAGAACTCAAGTCATACCCATTGAGCTCCAGTCTGTGGGACAAACTTCTGAAAGAGTTGAAGACTCTGGATCCCATCTCGTCAGGGTTTCTCCTCCAGTCACAGCTGAGCCGCCTCTTCCTAAGGCTTGAAGTCCCTCTACAGTTACCAACAGTCAAGCTACTCTGCCAAAGATTTTCTAGAAGGGATTCTTCTGAAATGGTATGGCTATCATGTGATCTGAGTAGTTTTTTTTTTTTTTTATGTCTCTGCCTTTAACCCAACAGGGTAATAAAATAAGAAGCCAGTTTCATCTTTGAACATAGTCCTTTTTATTATTTATTATGTATACAATATTCTGTGTGTATGCCTGAAGGCCAGAAGAGGGCGCCAGACCTCCTTACAGATGGTTGTGAGCCACCATGTGGTTGCTGGGAATTGAACTCAGGACCTTTGGAAGAGCAGGCAATGCTCTTAACCACTGAGCCATCTCTCCAGCCCCCTGAACATAGTCTTTTATATGGACTTTTAAACTTATTCATATTCATGAATGGGAGTCTTCATCAGAAAACACCAGAATAGGAAATGAAGTTAGAGATCTCAGTTATGTTCAATTTCTCTTTAAAGAGTTCTTGTTTCAACTTTCACCATCTGTTCTAAAAGCCTGTACTGATTCAAGATGGTGGGTCCAATGGTGAGCTGACTTGGTCTGCAAGCCTCAAGGTAAAAGCAGAAGGCTTGACTAAGACTTCTCTTGTATCGTAACAGTCTCTTAGAGGTCAGAAGTGAAATACAATTTGAAATATAATTTATCACTGCCATTTTGGAAACTGGAGTCCAAGGAATAAATGGCAGACATGGAGTTGAGACATGAATTCACCACAGTGGCTTTGGATATGGCCTATATTTGGGCACTGAGCACAAACTCATTTGTGTATGATTGTAATATGGTTGAAATATAGATATTGTAAAATATCTTGAAATGGAAATGATAGCAATGAGAAAACCTTGAGTAAGTATCATTGACCACAGGGACCTCAAAAAGGAAGCTCAGGGTGCTGACCCAAATCCCAGCAGCTGCAACTCTGTGACACGTGACTGTTCTACTCAATGTCCTTGGTACCTCAGTGATTTTGTCTAAAAAATCAGGTCTCACTGGTATCATATCATGATTTAATATATGACAAATGAAAAGCACTGATGTTTTATCTAGGGCTTAGATGCTGAAATAAATTTCTTTCCTCTCAGCTGTTGTAATTGAACTTTTTCTATCCTTATGAGAATTATTTAACTGTATGCTGATAATACATGACACAAACCACATGGAACTTGAGTTTAATACAACTTTATGGCTTAAGACCTACCTCATATGAGACTTTCTCCAACTCTCTCCATAACTGTTCCTCTTTTCTCTGGAGGTTCTAATATTCACAGTTTCTGGGTGGTCTCTGTCTTAGGAGTGGAAAACAGTGACCATCCTTCAATCCCTTACTATATTGGAAAGCAATCTTGACTTTTTATCACCTAGCTCAATAAATTATTGTCCCTAGAATATACAAATGCATGTAAACTTATAAGCACATATTATATACAATAACCGTTCTTGCAATGTGCGCGGGGGAAAGAGGCTAAACACTTACTCAGCAATAACAACCCCAAGTCCTCAGTGGTTTAAAACAACAAAGGTCATTGGTTGATTTTTTTAAACATGGTCTAATGCAACCCAGGCTGGCATCTGAAGGCACCCATGTAGCTGAAAATGCCCTTGAGTTTATGATCCTCCTACCCCCACCTTATAAGAGCTATGATTATAGGCATTTGCCACCATACCCAGTTTTATTTGATGCAGGAAATATGTTTCATTAGGCACTGTATCAATGGGGGTACATTGCCAAGTCCTGGTAGTTGTTAGTTTTTAAATGCACATTACAATAGTAGACACTAATACTGTTTGAGCTGCTGGACCCACCCTGATGAAACAGTTACTTAAGAATACTTTTTCTTGTGATCCCAAAGGGCAAAAGTGAGACTTCCAAGGATCTCATGCTAGAAGCTTAATTATTAAACTGGGAACCAAATTCAAGTCTTCTGTATGAGTAACAAGTCCTATTAGTCACTGAGTCATCTCTTCAACCCCTTATTTATTTTTTAAATTAAAATATAGTTACATCACTTCTTTCTATTACCACTCCCCTCCATTCTCCACTCAAACTGATTGCCTCTTTTTCTTTTATTATGATTATTATTGCATATATAAATATGCATAAATACAACTTCTGAACCAGGTTTTGTTGCTTGTGTCTATATGGTTAATTTCAGAGCTGACCACTTTGCATTGGATAACCAATTAGACATCTCATTGCTAGGAGAGGGTAATTCTTCCTCTCTTAACAGTCACTAACAGCCTGTAGCTCTTTGTCTAGCAGTGGGATCCTGTGAGATTCCCCTATTCTATGTTAACATGTCTATTGGTATTGTCATTGATCAGGTATTATTTAAGCACCCATATTATTTAATACTCATGAATGAAATTTTCCTGTCATTTCTAGGAGACAACAATCTCACAGCAGACTTCATAATTCTATCACTCTTAAAATCTTTCTGCCCTCTCTTCAGTGATGTTCCCTGAGCCTTATATGAGTTGTGTTGTAGATATACCCATGGGGACTGGCATCTCCATTATCAATTAATCTCTGCATTATGGTATAGCAGTTTCTTCTGATGCTCTCCATTTATTGCCAAGAGAATTTTCTTTGATATGGAAGGGAAGCTAAATTTATCTGTGGCTATAGGTTATGGTTTATAATACATTTAGGAATTATTCTGGCCTATTAACTGATAGCTCTACAGCTCTAAGATCCATAACCTCACTAGTCTTGAGTACCTAGATTTCTAGTACTAGACATGATTTCCTTTCTGTTCAGTAGACCTTAAATCCAATTAAACAGCTGTTAGTTACCATCAAGATATGGATGTTACCATTGCACCATGTTGAATAACTTGCCATTCTGGTCACTGCAGATATGATACATATACATTTTAGCTGCATAGGAATATTGATTGCTTCCTTCCCTTGATGACTTTCTTGGAGCTTTCTTATACTGTAAAAGCTAGACTGCAGGAAGGAAGATTTTCATTCAGATCCAGCATGTATTTTCCAAGTCCTATGTTTGCAGCATGCAGTCTTTGGGAATAGGGACTTATTTTAAACCTGTGAGAAGCACCTAAAGGCAAGAGCAATAGACTATATTGTTCAGGGAGTCACATGGATTATCTAGACCAACAAACCCAAACTGAAGTTTTGCATGCCTGATTCTGTGATTTTTGCTTTTGACTGTCTTCGGCTCTTGTGAAAACACTGTCAGACCAAGTGGCATAACTTCACTTAAGGTGTGTAACACATGTATATTTTCATGTATTAGTTATAATTTTAGATAAATATAAAACAATACCATTCCTTAAGCTTTGTCAAGCTTCCTTATTTGTAAATGCTATTTATTTATATGTTTATATGTTACTTATATAGAATTTCTATATTATTTATAAAGAACTAATTCTAGAGCTGGGAAGATGGCTCAGGAGGCAAAGCACTTGCCACATAAGAAAGGAAGTCCTGAAAAATGAGAGTTCAGAAATCTAGCACCCACATTCATGCTATAGAGGAGTGGTATCCCGCCTCTCATCCTAGCCCATGGGAGAGGAGGACAGGATTCCTGGAGCAAACCAGTTAGGTAGACTAACCAAATCAGCAAGCTCTGGGTTCAAGTGAGAGAATCTGCCTCAATACATAAGGCAAAGAATGATGAAGGGAGACACCCAACATCACCCTCAGCCTTCCACAAGTAGACACACGTGCCCACATATATAAACATGTATATATATGTGGACACCACAACATTCATATACACAACCAAAAAATTCAGTCTCAAAGGAATATTTATTACTGCAGAATGTAAAGCATCTTCAACATTTTTAGATGTTATTTGATTGAAATTGAAAACATTTTGATATTTATAGTCACCGGTGCTAAGAACACCTCATCACAAAAAAAAAAAAAAAAAAAAATATGGGCTTCAAAATTGCAGAAGCCTGTTTCAAGCTACTTCTGAAGTTGAAAATCCTATCCTAATCCCAAGCCAAACTTTATTGAATCCATTTTCATGAAACTCAAGTTAGGAACTCAAACATCAGCTCTGAAAACCAAACATTCTGACAAAATATAATACAAAAAATTCTAATTTGATATATTCTGAGGAATGACTGTATAAAAATATCAAAAGTCTCTGCTTTTTGTAATTAAGTCCACTATTTCTGTATGAGCAGAAAACTCTACATACAGTCAGAACCCTGCAGTTCCAAGTGCACAGGAGTCTAGAGTACAAGGCCAAGGTTGCATGATATGATGCAAATACAGTGTATGTGCATATGTTGTGTGCTCTGACCAAGGCCACAGTAAAGTAAACATGTATGAGAGTGGCCAAAAACGCCTTGAAGTTAGGTTTTGAGTGAATACGCAGTTATTTCACATTCAAAAACTTATAGTGTGTTCTAAGGTTGCTGCCAAGGATTTTAGAAGTTGGGTTATACCCAATCACCAGGTAACAATGAGGAGGCACTGTTTTGTTGTCCAGATAAGACCATCTAACCAAGCCACTAATAATTATGGGCCTGAATTCTTCACATAGGATTTTTAAAAATATCAATAGTAAACATTTTCCAAGTACCTTGGCTCCCTTTCCCTTAAATGCAAATTATGTAAATATGTTCTATCTAATATTTGATTTTCAGGTGAATTACGGAGAGCTACTTCAGTTTTTAAAAGGGGCAAGTTCAGACCATTTGCAGAAAAATGGAACTGCTGTATACCCTAACCCAAGGAAAACTCCAAATCAAAGCGACAACAGACAAAGGTATTCTCTTCCTTTGTGTGGGCATATTGTTCCTCCATATCTCAGGCCATACCGCTATAGTAGATTGAAGTGCTGTTGCTAGTTAGTTTTGAAAGTTCAAAGTTTAAGATGAAAGATGCTTAGGTTTTGGTTTTCAGATGTCACTTCCTTTCTTGACTTGCACAGTAGGAAAAAGTAGAAAGAAACCCTGTAACCTCTCCTATAACAGCATTAATCCATTTCCTGAGGGTTCCAACCTCATGACCAAAGGCTTAGAGTTTGAATTTGTGAACCTAACATTTAATCCATTGCCCTAGACTTCTACATGGAGCTTTAAGGATAGGAGAGGCATATTTACTTTAGTAACCCAGTTTACAAATGTTTGACTTGTGTATTCAGTCTCTCTTCTTCTTCTTCTTCTTCTTCTTCTTCTTCTTCTTCTTCTTCTTCTTCTTCTTCTTCTTCTTCTTCTTCTTCTTCTTCTTCTTCTCCTCCTCCTCCTTCTCCTCCTCCTTTCTCCATCCCTCCCCATATCTCCTCACTCTCATTTCTCTCCATCTCAGCATAGAAAGTAATTTAACTTAACTTTATTTACTTCTTAATATAAAAATATCTGCCTGTTTGTTTATGTTTGAAAAAGAAAAAAAATCTCATTACAAAACGAGAAAGACTCATGTAGGGTGTAGAACTCACCTATAAAGCATAAGGTTAGAAGTAGTTTTATTAGCGAAGTCCTAGATTATCGGTATTGGCAAAAGTTTTGAAATATAAAAATCAGTTATGTTTCTGTTTAGTTACAAGCAAAAGAAATGACAGAACTTTTTTAAATCAAAGTGTGTGTGAGAGATATATTAGACATGAAGCAGAATGAAGTGTGAAATGTTTGTATTTCCCAAGAACGGGGAGGGCATTCAGTTGTCAGGAACATTGGCTTCTTTGCCAAAAACCTGGGCTTAACTTCTTTACTACAGAATAACTATGTGACCGTAGAATTCGCCACCTCTGCTGGGCTTTCAGTGTCCAGTGGAAAACAGAGACTCAAATAAACTTCCTTTCATTGATTTTTAACTGGTAATAAAGCCAAGATCAGTAAATATCATAAGTTTTCCCTTTTCTGAATATCATTTACCTTAAATTTAAAAGTGTTTGTATGTGTGCTTGTGTGTGTGTGCATGAGTGTGTTCATGAGTGTGTGCATGTACATATTTATTCTTGTGTGAATATCGGCCATAAAACTAAAAGAACACCATGAAAGAGGAGAGAGAGAGAGCTAAAGGGGCAGGAAAAAAAAGAACAATGGAATTCATGTACCTGAAGGCAGATTTCAGGCGGGGGGGGCACTGTTGGTGAATCAAGGGAACCAGTCAAAGGTATGCAGAGAATCATGGGACATGAGTAACAGGATAGCTGAGAACAAAGTATAATGAGATATTTTGCAAAACTGTCACAATGAAAAGTTTTGTATTCCATTCTACCACAGAAAGTTAATTAAAAAAAAAAAGTAACAGAGGCAGAAGGATAACTCTGAATTCCACATCAGACTTTTCTACACAGTAAGTTGAAGACAGGCAGAGGTATGAAGTGAAATTCTGTTATAAAACAACTAAAAGTAAAATAACCTAAAATAAATGGATAAGCACAAAGTTCTTTAGAACACGGTGGTTTTTATTATTTCTCCTTTCAGATAGAAATAAGGCTACTTCTTAATTAGAAGCTGTAGCTCTGGGGATGAATGTCCCTGGACCAGGCAGTGGAGTTGCTTCTGTTCTCAATATTTTGGCAAGTCCCACTGCAGTTGTCACATGTACCAGGAAAATTACGGTCTACCCTTTGGGTTCATAGTCTCATTAATAAAATAATGTAGGAAGGAACTCAGAAGAAAGCTCAAAGACAATTTTATTAGAAATAAAACCCCAAGGGAGACAAGATGTACATCCTGGCAGCTGCCCCACCAGACAACAGAGATGAAGAAGAGGAGGAGAAGATTCATGACACGGTGACACCTGAACTGAGCCAGCAAAGAAGTCAGACATATGACAGGCAGACACATAGCTGGGAAGAGCTTTTGGATAAAAGGGTTATGAAAATCATACTTAGGAAAGAAATAGAAAGAAGAAAGCCAAGTTATGCCTTCCCGAAAAACTCAGAATTGTGGAAAAACTTACGGAAGCGAATATGACTTTGTCTCAGTAACTGACTGCACAGGGAATGAAAGAGCACGTCGTCTCATTAAGGGGATTTTTTTCCCATCTCTTTAGCATGGCTTATTGTGACCTTGACTTTCTTAGAGGTGGTCCCTTGGCCAGGTGATTGGCCTGCCCAAGTGGATTAACTCTGAAGGGAGAAGACATGGTGTGTCTCTATCCACAGGTAGATCCCACTCTTTGCTACAATAAGACCCTCCTATATTTCACCCCTTCAGCATGATTCATAAATTTTGCAAAGTTTCATTGCCAAGTACACTCCGTTGAAAATAGTAAATCCCCAAATTGAACAGTCCTATTCTTTTTCTTATGTGATCATAATGTTCAGAAAATTATATTAGTACATGGATACTCCAGCTAAGGGTGGCTCAGGAAACAGCTATGTTACTAGGAGCCATGAGCCATATAAAATTAAATAAGCAACAACCAGGCTTCATGGACTATAGACTGTGAAATCATGGTCCTGGGAGTTTACTGACCCTCCATTTAGTGCCCGGCTACTGGTACCATTCATCTGTTATTTAAAGAAGCCATAGCCAGATATGACTGTCTTAATAATTATAGATTTGCATGTAAGTCTATAAGTAAATGTTATTCCCAAAACACTAGGTCTTCCCAACACAAAGAGGAAGGTTAGAATCCTTGCAATACATCTTCCCACTAGAGGGTTTCCTGCGTAAATCACCCATTACAATAAGGCAGCATCTGTTTGGCTTTGCTTGTGGCAATCAGTAGTTTGGGCAGCTATTAGTAATTAACTGAATTTAAAAGCAGAATGACTAAGTAGGTTAAGAATATCATTTACTATTTGTTGCCATTTTCCTCTCAAATGAGAAAAGAGAGCTCGAAAAAAATTAGGTGCCTAGGTCTATGTAGCAGCCCAGTTGGTTTGTTCCCCCATGAGAAGAAATTGTAGAGCCCATTTCTGTGAAAAAAGAAATGTATCCATCTATGAAAACTGCACATGAAGCCCATGTCCACGTTACTAACATTTATGTGGATCCCAGGGAAAAGCTGAACCAAGAAACACAACATGAAAACACAGACTTTTAGCAAGCCAACTTTTTTACAGTCTTTGCTTTGCCTTTCTAAGCAGCACACCCCCTCAACGTTCTGGCTTACTGGCTGAAGTGAACAAGAGCTTGCTGGAGATTTTGAAGATGGCCCTAAGAACATGCCAAGGCAGAGTCAACGTAGACAACCTCAATCTGAGCCTTCGCAAAGAAGATCGGTCATTCTCTGGCTGCCTTCCCCTGTCCAAGGTAACCAAAATTAGCTTTTAGATTTGGCAAGCGTCAACAGAAGTACTACATAACATTGAGTTTATATTAACAATAAGGTACAGCTATGATTTGTATTCTCCCTGTGAATTACATCACACCACTGTTTCGTTGTGTGTGTGCTTGAGAAGAGAAAAACAGAGACAAGATTTTGAAATGTGCAGAATTGGTCCAGCAATTACTTAAATTGTGTATATTTAATGTTAATGATAGAAAATATGATAATATCCAAATAATACTTCACAATGGAAACAAGTACTTTTCAAGGCCAAACTCATTTCTCACATCCTCTCGCAGCTTCTACGGGAGCCAGCATGTGGCATCTCATGCCTTGGGAGCACCATATTTTAGGGTTGATGTAATTTATGGTGCACAGAGCTCAGCATGCTGATTTGAGACAGTAATTACCAGTGCAGATGTGTTTCATGGAAGAGGACCCAGAACTGTATTAATTCATGAATCTTCCGTAGCCAAATAAACTGATCTCTCAAAGCTACATCGGATAGAGGTGGAATGATGATTGCCGCTATTACTATAACTGCACTGATAATACCTCGGCTTCACACTGTTTAATACTTACTAGGTGCTAATCACTGTGCTAAGTGCTTAACTGACATGATCTCATGTAACATCAACCAAGTTAACTCCCTACACAATATCATGAAATATATTGAATATCATGAAATGTGTTGTTACTGGTGTTATCACTTCATAAGTGAAATAAATTCTGGATTTTGAAAAAGACAGTTGAACTAATTCCTGGGTCACAAGTAACAAGGGGCAAAGTCAAGATCTGAAGCTTAGAAAAGGTTGGAAACCAGTGAGCAAAGAGAATTTAATAAATAGTTGATATCCAGAAGATTTTACTGACAACAGTATTCAAAAGATAGAAATTGGAGCATTAGGAAAGGTTGAAAATTAGAGGGAGAAAGATTCTATCAAACAAATTGTCACATATCCTTCATTCTGGGCATGCAGGGGTTAAAATTGAGGGAGTCAAAGTGGTTTCTGATATTTACTAAGAAAGCAAAGATACAACACAGTACAGGTGGGTTCTCATTCCCAAACAAAAGCTACCATTCTCTGAGACTGCATTTATGCAGTTGGCATGCAAAGCAAGGTTTATGCTAATGTTGCTATGTGCATATACCTGTGTATATGCATACTGTACATACAAACATGTTTCAGTAGAAAGAGAATAATGCAGGGCAGTCTGAACTTCATGAGTTGTCTGTTTTGTATTCATGAGGAGACTAAGAATAAACTAAGAAGCAACAGTTCTTTATTCGATTGGAAATCACATAATGCCACCGGTGAAGCCTTGTGTTCTCAGACGTTATGCAGAGACTATAACACAAATAACTTAAAAATTAAAACACATTCACTTAATCTATTTTGGTCTCGGATTCTCATCTGGAAAATGTAGGTTCCAAATAACATCTCCGTCGACTTTGTGGAGATTAAATGAGACTAAATACGTGAAAGTATTTGTGTACAACCTCATACACAAGGCCCTAAATAAATTCTATAACACACACACACACACACACACATCAGTTTTCTGAGGTTTTTGTCCTGTGGTCAGATGATACAATATTAAACTTTGGCTATCAACAGTCTTTAAATGTTCTTGTCTATAGCTGGCCCTGAAAGCTTAACTTTGTGGTTCAAATCCAAGGAGATGGGGTGTATTTTCCTTAAAGCTGGTCTGTCTTTCATGAGCCATCTGGCATCTCTTAAGACATCTGGAACTCACTCAAAGACTAATACACTTCTGGGAGGCATGTTAAATAGAATTCGGTTTCCTCAGAATGTGAAGCAAATTAAGGCCCAAGGGATATTTGATACAGGAAGCAACAGGGTGCAGCCACACCACAGCTTCCTTTCTCCCGGACCCTAGGTTGAAAGCAGAATGTAAAGACCATGCTTGTACTAGAAGCATTGAAGTTTTGGAACTGTAAGTCTTAACTTTCTTAAAGTGCAGAAGAGAGAACTTTCTTAAGTCGTCCATGACAGCTATATACTACCCCTTACCAGAAGAACAAACAAAATAAGGATAAAGAGGGAATAAAGTACCCAAAGTCATCTCAGTTCAAAGTGTTTGCAGACCGCTAGTAGCTCCCAAGAAATGGAAACATTGTCGAAAATAATCTACAGATCTTGTGACCCACATCAAATGAATTTTGACCAGTGACAAAAAAAAAAAACACTCTATAAACAAATTTGGTATCAGTCATCTTTCTTCTTCATCTCGCTCTCTGGCACATCTTCGGTAGAATGCTGATTTGACAAGATTGCAAAAACAATGTGAATCCACTTGTATTCCTTTATTAACTGTTCCACTGTCTTGGCTACTCTTCTTGTTGCTGTAAAAAAAAAAAAATACCTAGCAGAATCAAGGAAGGAGGGGCTTATTTTGGCTCACAGTTAGAGGGTACAGACCATCCTGGCAGGTAAGTTAAAGCAATAAGAGCTTGAGGAACCTGGTTACATTGCATCCAAGGTCAAGAAGTAAAGAATCACGATGAATGTTTTTTTGCAGCTCACTTTCCTCCTTTTAGACAGTCAAGGATCCCACTCAGGGAATTGTGCTACCCACAATGAGGAGGTCTTCGCGCCTAATTTAACAGTTATCCAATGAGCTCCATCCCTCAGGTTACTCTAGATCTCATCTTGTTGACAATTGAGATTACCTATCACACCCACCTGTTGGGAACTCTGGACCCATCCCCCAGACCCTGAATTTCCTGTGATTTCACCTCCTGCCTGTGCTTGCAGCTGCTCTGAACAAACAACTTCTTTTGCAGCTGCTCCGAGCACAGGAGTTCCTAATGGCAGGGGAGTGGTTTCTGGTGGGCTTGCAGCTGAGAGTTAGGGCATGGCCATTAGTCAAGGAGACCCTATATAAGCTGCCCTGGATCATAATAAAGAGGAGCATTCTTGGGGCATTCTTATTGTCACCCATGTCTTTCTATGGATGTGTGTGTGTTTCAATCTCCAGCCCCCAGACTGCCTCGCGAACCTTACCGTAGCATGTGGCACAGAGAGCAGGCATTGCGCCATACCTGTCCATTTCCTGAGCAAGGAATACATTCGCCAGGACTGTCCAGACTTGAGCATGTAGTCTCAGTATAACACGTTTGGAGAACTTCTAAAAGTCCCCTTTGAATGTGTACTAGCACGGCAGAGTCCCTAGCCACCTTCTACAATTTCTCGGTCATCCTTTTCATATTTCATTGTTTCTATATTTCTGTCCTAAAACAGTCAAAATTTCAACTACTTCTGAATTGTCCTCTACCTTCAATGCAATATTCATATTTCCGATCAATACCATTTAATTGACTTTCACTGTTGGACACATTAATTACTGTGTGTGCTAGGCACTAATGACAATAATTTGAATTTTCTTGTTCACCAGGAAGTTAAGGAGGCAAATGCCATCAAAATTCTGTGACAAAGTTAGGGGTAGCCATTAACTTGAACACAGAACTAGTCACCTGTGTAGCTTATCTGAAAGTGGTCCAAGAAGATTCTGGTCAGCATGTAGGTTTGACCAAGAACAAAGCAAGAGAAAATAAAATGATGATTTGGATCAAATGAACAGTGTGAATTATTTCCAGAGTACAGACTGGGGGAGACAGTTAAAGGAATGGCTTCCAGTCAACTATGGAATAAAAAGTATGAGCTTATGTATGAAGGGTCTTTCCAAAGAGTTTATATTTTATCCTATAAAATCCTTGTAACCACCAAAGCATTTTAAATGTTCAAATGATATGATTACATTTGAACATTTAGAGGAACATTTTAATATAATTTAGAGAATTTTTCAAACAAGCAAAACTGAAAGGAAAGAGCCTTGCGGGAACCTGTTCCAGTAAAGCAGAAAGCAACCATGATGTTTCAAGTAAGGCACAAACAGGGAGGATGGAGACAGTACAAAAGATAAAGCAGGTTTGGGTGTGTCATTGAATGTGGGCCAAAACTAACTCCAAATTCATCAACTTGTTCAATGATAAAGCTATTCACTAAAATAAGAAACTAACAGGAGTAATATGAAGGAGTAGAGGATGGGCTGATGGACCGAATTTTGACCTTGTTGGTTTACACAGTAAGACTGAAATTATATAATGATTTGAGACTCTTCAAGATGGATGGGACATTGCAGGAGCACTGTAGACCACTCCAGAACATACGGGAGAGTGAGGCTGTAAGCAGACTGAAGAAGGTACTCCTTATGGAGTCTATAGGCAAGAAAAGTCAGTGAAAAAGATTAACATCAAAGGAGATGTGGGAAGCCGGGCGACGGTGGTGCACGCCTTTAATCCCAGCACTCAGGAGGCAGAGGCAGGCGGATCTCTGTGAGTTCGAGACCAGCCTGGTCTACAAGAGCTAATTCCAGGACAGGCTCCAAAGCCACAGAGAAACCCTGTCTAAAAAAAAAAAAAAAAAAAAAAAAAAAAGGAGATATGGGAGCATTAAAGACAGCAGTGCAGGAGAGCTTGTAGGAACAGAGCATGGCCTTCCAGCCCCATGCTGCAAAGAGATCATCTTTAAATAGGACTAAATTTGCTAACTGGAAACCAATAGTAGTTCCTTGTAACTGATAATGATGGTTGAGCCAAGTAAAAATGTAAAACACAAAACATGGGGAAACAGGAGCCTGTAGCAACTATCCAAGCTCTTGAGACATTATTAGCATAAATAGTCCCTTAGTCTGTCACTTGCTAAACAATGTAGTTTATTTACTTACATTGAAATAAATGTCTTTACTTATTTTTCTTCTTTTTGTTGTTGTTGCTGTTGTTTTTCAAGATAGGGTTTCTCTGTGTTAGCAGACTTAGCCATTCTGGAACTGGCTCTTGTAGATCAGGCTGTCCTCGAACTCACAGAGATCTGCCTGCTTCTGCCTCCCGAGAACAGAGATTAAAGGTGTTTGCCTCCACTACCCAGCTAAAAGTATTTACTTCTGATTGAAACCATTTCCTCATTGAGATAAAATTATTAAGCATTTCTTATAAAGAGTCATCAATTTTAATATTTATGCTTTAAAGTTATGTTTTACTGGTAATCCTGCGTAACACTGTCTTAACTAATTTTTCTGGTAGACGTTTTCATTGCTCCTCATGACTGCCCGTCAGTTTTTAGCAGCCATCAATCAGCCTGTGTCTAGGTATGATGATGTACTCTTTCTAATCTGCTATTCATTTTAGCCTACAGCAAAACTGAACGTTGACAGCGTGATCTATTTTGCGAATAGACTTTCAATATAGGTGTTCAAAAACAGATCAGTATGCTATAATCATGAGGCTAATCCATTTTTATTTATTAAAGATAGCAATTTATTTACTAAATAAAAATGGCAAAATGTGTGATCAATTTCTGTATCTCTTTGTTTTTTTTTTGCTAACCTCTCCCCAAACCCATTCCATTCACATTCACCTTTGATTTGAACCCTTTATTTTCTAAGACTGCTAAGCAATAGTGGTAATAAAATAAATGAATAAAGGACCATCTCACCTAGGAAAAGACTCTGCCTCACAAGGAAGCTCAGAAGGGCAATAGGATTACTGCCCTTTCAGGAAGAGGCAGGAAACTACAGCAGAATGGGCAACACCAAGATACTTACCATTCTACATAGCACTGGAGTTTCGTTTTGTTTTTCCTCTGTTATTTATATCCCCTTGTCCTCTCCAGCATTCTCCTCAGCTCTTATGCTTTGGGTAAATTCTCACTGTTTGTTGCTTTGTTTAAATGTTTCAAAATAATCTGTTATTTATTTTCTTCTTAAAGTTTCTCTGACTTTAATTCCTCTACACCTAGAAAGTAGAAAGCAAGTTTTAAAACCTCAGAAAAAATAAAGATGAGCATTTTTGCCTCTGCTTGCCTACTATGTGCTGAGGGTGAACCCAAGACCTTGCCTAAGCAAAGAAAATGTTACAGAACTGCGCCCTTCTCACTGTTTTAAGATGCAAACTCCATTACTATATGGCTATGCTGATACTAACAGGTCAGTAGACAATTGCTCCTGAGAAGAAGACACCACACCCTGTAGGGCTTCCCAGGGAGGTGCCATTGTGGTATAGGACAAAAGGGGAAGATGGGCAAGAGCCCTTTCCTATGTTTCTTGCATAATGAATGAGCAAAGCAAAGTAAGCAAACTCAAGATTAGCTGCCTTGTACAGTTCCCTTGAATGCTGGAATTTGAAGGTTGTCCCTGGTTTCCTGGTTCCTATTCCAGGATGAAAATTCAAATGGTAGTGGAACCCTGCAGGTACTTATAAAGGCCTTTGTCTAATTGAATCGCTCACATTCAGCTGAGTTTTTTACTCTCTCTTAACTAACCTAAGAAGGGCAGACTGCAATGGTTAGTGTTAAATGTAAGTTTGATAAAATCTACAGTTTGGGAGATCTGCTTTTTTGCCAGGTCTGTGAGGATTATTTTGGTTATGCTAATTGATGAAGGAAGATTCTCCTTAAAGGAAGACCCTTCTCGAGGCTAGCGATTCTAGACCATAGAAAATGGAGAAGGAAGCTAAGCCCTAGCATGCATGCATTTCTTGCTCTTTGCTCTGACTATACTATCTGGCCAGTTGCTGTGTGTTTCTGTTGCCTTGCTGCCACCATGCTGAACTGAACCTTGAACTGAGTCAGTTTAAACTCATTACTCCTTAAATTGCTTTGGTCAGGGCAATGTCTCACAACAACAAGAAAAGAAACCAAGAGAATGCATTAACCATGAATACAACACAATTGCTTTTACAAACCAAAGTACATGATACAAAATGTATCAGCATGAGGAAGATCCTTCCGAGGCCGTAACCACACATGGGTTGGCAAAAATATAAGATCAGTAACAGAATCCCTAGTGGCTTCTGAAAAATACACTACATCTATCGGCCAACTGAATATAAGTGTGTTACCCATAAGGATGGAGTTGAAAAAGCACACACTGACCTCAATGACAGAATATACTCCTGAGCAATAAATAGCTCCTTGCAGAATCATATGGGCTATCATAGTGGGAAGAAATCCAAACACTCATTTCATTTTACTAAAGCTTCAAATCCTTTCTTATTTCTAGGTCAGAGCTATATGTGGCAAACATGGATTGTATCTAACCTTGACCCTGCTGGAAACATTGCTTAACCACCAAGATTTGGGTTACCAAGGTGAAATAAAGTAAGTTGAATTTTGAAGGTTTTGCCCCACCAAAATGAAAATGTGGTAACGTCCTAACTCTCAATATGGTGATTCTGGTGGCTGAGGCTTTGGAAGTTCACTAAATTTAGATGAAGTTGGAGCACCCTAGGAGAAATAATAATTTTCCAAGAAAAAGCCAGGAAAGCTTCCTTCTCTTTCTACCTTAGAAAGACACATCAAGAAGGCGATAACCAGAACTAAAACTTTTTGTTATCTCAGCTCCATTAGAAAAAGACAGTGTCTAATGTTAGACACTTCGGCATCTGTACTGTGCTATCTGTGGATCTATGGAAACTCTGTCAACCTACTGCATTCTATTGCCAAGCACAGACATCTGCCTTTAGAGAACAAGTTCCACGTGACAACCAACCAATTTCAATCACTTGCCAGCTATGCTAAAGAACATTTTATTAAGTAAGACTAAAGGAAGCTGGCTAAATGGGTCAGTTGGTAAAGACCTTTACTGCCTAGCTTGATGACAGAATGCCACATTGTAGAATGAGAGAACCTGCTCTTAAGGTCCCATCGGACCTCCACACATGTGCAAGCACATATACACTAAAGAAATAGATGTAATAATTTTTAAATATTTAAGACAAAGGGTTCTCAATAGTCATAGAAACACAAATGAGGAGACCTCTCCTTTCAGCCCGTAGGAACCTCTATGGTCTATACTTGTCATTCCTCCTGAAACAGCTAAATAGTAGGACCAGACAGATGAAATAGTGTTTCAGAGGTTGAGGATTGAACATTGTCATCAAACTGGGATGAAGGCAGGAAAGCAATGATATTGGCTTGTCTTGCTGCAGAGGAAAGAGAAAAAAATAATGGGCTAGAACCTTCAAAGAGTTGGAATGAGATAGAGTTGGAGGTTAGGAAGAGCAAGGAGGATATAGCATATTTTACCAGGTACGTAGGTACAGGACATATATCCCCACACACATCCCCTGGAGATTTTAAAGAGTTGTCTTCAAGGATTTTTATAGGTACTAGCTTATGAATGAAATTAGGAAACTGCTCATAACACTGGAAACGAAAATATAGAAAACACCTTAGGGCACACGTAATCTGTGTGGGCTACACTAATTACTTTATGCAGAAATCTAATCCTCCATTCTCTCCCCCTTTATCTGCTTTGCTTTTGTTTGCTCTACAAACCTACCAACTTCTTTTTTAAAATGTTTCATATAAATATATATTCTAGACTGAGCATAAAAATTCCTTAACTTCCAATAAGTGAAATAACATTGATTTAGCATGCTATCTTCATTGCCATATTGTGATAAATAGTAAACTACAGTACCATAAGGCAAGTCGATTCTTTATTCAGCTTTGTATACCAAATGTCTAAAGCAGTAGATATTATGATGGTAAATGTTTATGCGCTTGAATCAAATTAGGAGAGAAGTTATCTCAAAATAGCTCATGGTCAAACTGAAGAGTGCCTTTCCCCAGCATTTCAGCGAAATCAGGTACACAGTATTAAATGCTCTAATAGCACCTAGTCATGTTATCCCCTAATTATGTTCTCTTTAGAACCCTGATTTAATTGTGTGTTTTCTTAATTTATGTCTATACAATGATCACCCTACAGCAAGAAACATAGCTGCTTTCCTCATTCATAACATCTAATGTACAGTGTGGTTAGATTACAGTGTGTATTCGCTGAGCTTGATGATTCATTTATTTAACCAACATCTTCCAAGAACCAGCAATATACTAGACAGTGGGAGTACAGCTATGCAGAAAACAAAGCCTGTTCCTCATGAAGGTATATTCTACTTGGAATGAGAAATAATTTAAAATATATGGCATAGCCAGACAGTGGTGGTGCACACCTTTAATAGCAGCACTTGGAAGGCAGAGACAGGCAGACCTCTGTGAGTTTGGGGCTAGCCTGATATAAAGAATAAATTCCAGGATAGCCAGGACTTCACAGCGAAACCCTGACTTAAAATAAAATAAAGGAAAATATATGGCATAACCCAAAGTCATAGGGGCAATAAGGAAAAATAAAGCAGTTTAAGGTTTTGCAAAGAGCATTAATAAGTGAATGAGTTCGAGTCCAACTCAGTGGATGAATTCCTATGGGCCAGTTTTGCACATGAGCATTTCCTTAGAGATGGTTAAGCTACTAAAAGCAGACAAATGAGTTAGGAGAAGACTAGAAATCTGAAGGAAGTTCTCAAAGTGGCTTTAATCTAAAGAAAAAAAATCAAGGGCTGGAGAGATGGCTCAGTGGTTAAGAGCACTGGCTGCTCTTCCAGAGATTCTGAGTTCAATTCTCAGCAACCACATGGTGGCTCACATTCATCTGTAATGAGATTTGGTGCCCTCTTCTGGCCTTCAGGTAGAACACTATATATATATAAATAATAAATAAATAAATTTTAAAAAAAAGAAAAAAAATCAAGCACCAGAGTGTACATTATATATACGATATAGCAAAGACTTCATTGATATTGTTGATTAACAACTAATTCAGAACCAGTATTTCAGGGATCTGGATTATAAGAGCAGACAGTTGCTTTCTTTGACCTTTGAATAGTCTAGGATTTCAAAACCATGAGAATCAAAGAAAAAAATATGGTTACAAGAGATAAACATATTTCATCTTTAAACAGTCATTGGCTAAAGCTTCATCTGTGAATTAAACCCATTCCATTATGTGCTTTGTATGCAAACCTATATCCTTAAGAGATTAAAGATGCAATTTAGGCACACATTTTAGGAGCTGAATGCTCGAATCATTATCTTAGTACATATTGTCCATTAATCTGCGTTCAATTGGAAAGCCATTTGGAATGTCGCTGTGCGCTAATTAGCAGGATTCTAGTGCTTAGCTGCTTCCTGATTAAATGTCCTTTAGAATCAATAAAACATCAGGAGGGATTGTGGTGTTGTGGGATTAGCCCCATCTAGCCAAATAAAATGAGTTGTGTTCCCTTTTTAAACTCGCATGTTGTGAGCTAACAAGAGGGACAATTCTTGCCAGTCCTGAAACAAAAAATGTGTTCTGTTGATGTTGTTGTTGTTTCTTAGATAATTTTTTAAAATCGGAGATTTCATTTTTCATCTTCCCATGTTCCTAACAATTAGCAGAGACATTTGTGAATGACTGCCAGGATAAGGCGATTGTGAGAAAGACTTGATTACGATTCCTAATCTCCACTCTGAATCACCCTTATGGAAAATGAGCTCAGGTTGTGTTGGATGGAAATGATTATCCCTATTCTTGGCCGGGGAGATGGAAGTCAGAATTCACATTTAATGTTTCTATGTGACTTTGTAATAAATGGTAATTTAGGAGGGCAGAGCAAGAACAGGAGGCAATCTAATACTCGAAAATTATATTGGCAAAATTAAATGCTTCAAACCAGTGTAGAACACACGTGCACAAGCCAAATTGTGTTGGGGGAGGAGATAAATAATGAAGCTGCTATGGAGGCTTCCTGAATGGCACAGACCAATTGACACAGCCACAAGGAGGACATACATAGCGTACACATCTGGCCCAATATAGCAAATAGAGTTAGGTTGGAAAGGACTTTTTGCAAATCCTGGGAACGAGCGGAGAATTTTAGGAGATAAAGGAAGCATGAGTTGTCTCATTCATCAGTTGCTGTTTAAAGGGAATAGGAAAAGTGTTTCACAAAGGACTATTGGAGATGTGCTGTGTTCACCCAGTGGCTCGGTGGTAGACAGCAAACCTATCTTGCTAGTCTGCATTCTCATAATGAAGACAGTGCCGATAGAGGTGTCACTGCTTATAGAGAACATTTGTAGAACTTAAACAATTCCAAGCAATATTTCAAGTGTTCTGTTAAATGTTAACCTTTTTGATTTCCTGCAACAGCTCCATGAGGTAGGTGCTATTCTAGTTTTCAAATGAGGAAATGGAAAACCTCCATGACCCTGATGAATGAATTCGTCAGAAAGGCTGAGTTAATGCAGGTTTGACCGATTCAGTCTTCGACCATAACCACATAATGTAGTTACTTTCCTGCAAGTCTTACAGTTCGGAGAAGTTTGTGTGTGACTGGGCAACAGGCTTTGGATAAACTGTGTGCTGGAGTTCACCCTTCGGTTTGGTACTGGACCCAGTTTGGAACTTGAGTCTGTCTGGAAGAATTTCCTTCCACTGGCAATTAAACCTTGAATTTCCATCCCAGGATCTGTGGCTTTTGTCATGGCAGATTTTTCTAGTCTATACATGCTTCTATAGCACAGCTGTATGAGCCACGGGTACCATTTTCTCGCAATCCTGGAGGCTGGAAATTCAGTTTTCTTACTGTAACCTCGCATGATAGAAAGGATGAAGGGTCTGTTACTAGAAAATCAGTCCAATTCCTGGTGATTTTGCCCCAGGACTTAAACCTTCCAAAGACTCTACCTAATAATACATCATGTACAAAGATTTCAATTGAGGGATACATAAATACAAATATATGAGATAACATTAGGAAACATTTGCCCCTTGCTGGTCAGATGTCTCTTCCGACAGACACATTTTGTGCCCTTCAGTAAGAGTTAAGAATTCCAGGACGATTAAACTTCTCCTGTCCAGGAGCACCATTTCTGCCTGGCAGTCTGGACAGAGCTGCCTCCTCTGTGCCCTCCTGGCTGAGGGAGTTAGTTGCGTCTGCAGCAACTAACTAGGTGAGCAATGACAAACAGAAGCAACCCAGCAGTACAGGAATACAATCCTTGCAAATCTAGCTTACCACACCCTGGTGCTAAGACCACAGTGAACAGATTGGAGAATGAAGAAAGACGGCTGGCTTGAGTGGATACCCAGAGTTCTTTTTGACTATATGAAGTTTCCAGGGGAACATTCTTCATAGAGTTAGCTCCATTGAGATTGCAAGGGTGCACTATAAAATAGCCCATGTTTTGATTTTTCGGTGTGGAGGCTTAATGTCTTTTTAAATATCAAAGGTTATTATATAAAAAGACATCTGCTTTATAGTCCCTAAATA